GCTGTTCTGTTAAATTTTGCTATTTTCACTGGGGTGAGATGATATCTCATGGTTGTTTTAATTTGCATCTCTCTTAGAGCTAGGGATTTTGAACATTTCTTCATGTGCTTGTTAGCCAGCTGGGTCTTTATGGTTTTCTAGGTATACTATCATATCATCTGCATAGAGAGATAATTTTACCTCCTCTTTGCCAGTTTGGATACCTCTTATTTCCTTCTTTTGTCATATTGCTATCGCTAAGACTTCTAATACAATATTGAATATGAGAGGTGAGAGTGGGCATTTTTGCCAAGTTCCTGTTCTTAAAGGGAATGCCTTTAACCTCTCTCTGTTGAGAATGATGCTGGCTCTCAGGTTTACATAAATACTTTTTACTATGTTGACGAAATTCCCCTCTAATCCTATTTTGTTGAGTGTTTTAATAAGGAAAGAGTGTTGGATTTTGTCAAAGGCCTTTTCTGCATCAATTGATAGGATCATGTGGTTCTTTTTCTTTGCTTTGTTAGTGTGATGAATTACATTGATTGTTTTCCTTATAAAAGGGTGGGGGAAAATATACCAAGCAAACGGCAACCAGAAAAAAGCAGGAGTAGCGATATTAATCTCTGATAAAATAAATATCAATGTAAAAACCATCAGAAAGGACAAGGAAGGTCACTACATAAAGATGAGAGGATCAATAGAACAAGAGGACATAACAATAATAAATATCTATGCACCAAATGAAAGACCTGCAAAATATATAAAACAAACATTAACAAAACAGAGAAAGAAAATAGACAACACTACTATAATACTTGGAGACTTCAATGCACCCCTTTCAAGAAAAGATAAAACTACCAGAAAGAAACTCAACAAAGATACTGAAGAATTAAACCATACAATAAACCAGCTTGACCTCATAGATATTTACAGGCTAATGCACCCCAAAAAAACACAGATTACCTTCTTCTCCAATGTACATGGAACATGCTCCAGAATAGATCACATTCTAGGACACAAGGCAAGCATCAATAAATTAAAAACATAGAAATAATACAAAGCATCTTTTCAGACCATAATGCTACAAAATTAGAAATTAATAATAGACAATAAAGGAGATCAAACCATGCATTTGGAAGCTGAACAACTCCTTGCTTGAACACAACTGGGTACTAGAAGAAATAAAAAATGAGAGTGAAAAGTTTCTTGAAACAAATGTCAATGAAAACACCACTTACCAAAACCTCTGGGATACAGCCAAAGCAGTAATTAGAGGTCAATTTATAGCAATAAGCAAACACATCAAAAGGCAAGAAAAATTGACCGTTGACTCTCTAACTCAACATCTTCAGCAAATTGAAAAAGAGCAGCAAGAAAACCTGACACCCTCTAAAAAAACCGAAATTATAAAAATTAGAGCAGAAATAAAAGAAATAGAAAACCGAAAAACAATTGAAACTATCAACAAAACTAGGAGTCGTTTCTTTGAAAAGGTCAATAAAATCGACAAATCATTAGCAAAACTCACAAAGGAAAAGAAAGGAAAAACACAAATAATGCGGATAAGAGACGAGTCAGGCAACATCACAACAGAACCAATGAAAATAAAAAAGCTAACATTAGAGTATTATGAAAAATTATACTCAAACAAATATGAAAACCTAGAGGCAATGGATAAATACCTAGAAATGCACAACCTACCTAAAGTAACAGAAACTGAAACTGAACATCTGAACAGACCCATTACAAAAGAAGAAATTGAAAATGTGATACAACAACTTCCGACCAAAAAAAGCCCTGGACCAGAAGGTTTTACAAGTGAATTTTATCAAACATTCAAAGAAGAATTGTCACCAATTCTACATAAACTATATCAGGAAATAGAGAAAGATGGAATTCTCCCAGATTAATTCTATGAAGCAAACATATCCTTGATACCAAAGCCAGGAAAGGACGCCATCAAAATAGACAACTATACGCCGATATCTCTTATGAACATAGATGCAAAGATACTGAATAAAATACCGGCCAATAGAGTTCAACGACACATCAAAGAAATAATCTATCATGACCATGTGGGATTTATAACAGGTATGCACCTTAGTTTTTAGACTGACTTCTTTTTGTACTGCAGCACTCTAGAGAGGTCTAGACAGTCAACTTTCCTAATATAATTAATTTTTTTTTATTTCCTTGCTGCTGTTTTCAAGAGTGTTGATTTCAGTCTCTTCTCCATCTATCAAAATGCTGCCAATTGGCCTAGTGGTAAGAATCTTTGTTTTCTTGATGTTGAGCTTCAATCCATAATCCTTGACCTGCAGATAGGGATATCTCTTCATGGGAGAAGATTGCCCAGTCTTTCTCCCTAAAAGCAGCTGGTGGATTTGAACTGCATATCTGTGCATTGGCAACACAAAATTCCTTACTACTAAGCCACCAGAGCCCTCTCTCTTTAAATTTGTTTTATTATGTACTATTGAGTTGAAACAGACTCATATCTGTTTTTAGAGACAGTAAACATTTATTTTTGTGAAAAAAAAACTTTAAAAATTTTTATTGAAAACCTTTTAATCATATTGGTTTTCATGGTTTCCTTAGTGTAATTAATTTATTACAATAGCTAAGCAGAAGTGCCATCTACTTCCTAAACAACATCCATTTGGAAACTCTGTGAACTTTGATAAATGGCAATGGTTGGTTGTGGAAGCGCTTCAGGCCTTTTGTTCATAGGGTCGCTGAGTCGTGCTCGTGCTCGACTTGAAGGCAAAAAGAAACAACAATAATCAAAGTTAAAGGGAGCATAATTAAAGGGGTCAACTATGGGTCGGTTCTGATTTCACAGTACTTAACAATACAATCGAAGTTCTTTATGTTGCCTTTTCCTCCCCCTCTGTTCTCAGAGGACACCACGGAGGCAAAGAGCTCCTTTGAGATGGCAAAGCTGTCTCTCACACTTTGGGCATGTTGCTAAGAGGGGCTACTTCTTGGCAAAGAACATCATGTTTGGAAAAAAGTGGAGAGTCAGTGAAAGAAAGAGCCCCTCAACAAGGTGGATTGACATTGTGACTGCAGCAATGAACTTCAATGTGTGAGAGATGATGAGGATGGCACAGGCTAGGAAAAGGTTTAGGTCCGTTGTTGACAGTCACTATGAGTCCTTCTCGACTAGATGGCATCTAACAACTACAACCCTCCCTTCTCATCCTGGATAGGGATTGTCTGACTTTTAGAGTGCAAGCTCGCCGCCATAAGCAGGGTTTGTGATTCACCCGTGGAGCTCGCAGAGTCTGGCCCATGGGCATTCAATGCCTGACGAAGAAATTAAGAGACAAAAATAAACCTTAAAAAGCACAGAGGCAGAAGGAAATAGGACACAGACAAGCAGAGAGATGCCGAGAACTTAGTCTTTCCCAGGAGCCGCAAGAGTCAGAGAGGGAGGAGACTGGGCGTGGGGGGCGTGGTTTGTCTCGGGGGCGTGGCTTGGGCGAGCCACGCCCCGGTCCGTCTCTGATCGCGCTCCGCCGACTCATTCCGCGTGCAGGGTGTCCGGCCGCTGCCCCGCGCTTATCTTGGTCGCGGCATCCGGGCTGCGGTAGTCTAGTCGAGATGCGCCCCATACTCGGCCTCCTTTTGATCTTCATCGGCTGCACCTTCGCCCTGTATTTGCTGTCGACGCTCCTGCCCCGTGGGCCGAGACTGGGTTCCACCGAGGAGACAGGTGGCAGGTTCGTGGCGAAGCGCCGGAGAGTGGGGTTCGGGTCAGCGCGAGGGAGCTGGGTCTGGGAATCCGAGCGTCGGGTTGTAGTTGGGATGTAGAGTTCATTGCCGGGGCTGGAGTGTACGTCTGGTATCGGGCCTGCGTCTCTCGGGTCTCGAACAAGTCGGGCGGGTGAGGGCCAACGCCAGTGCTGGTGCAAAGTCCAAGGTGCTTGCTGTCTCTCAGGCGCACCTCTGTCTATGCCCGGGCATCGCCGCGCTACCAAGGCTTCTCTCGCCTTCCCCCTCGCAGCCTGACCCGCATTTCCAGTTATCCCTGTCCCCAACCTCCCTCCCACCGTTAAGGCATTCGGTTTTCGAGAGAAATATTGCACGGACAACTTCAAATTATTCACGAACTATCAGATCTTCCCCGCCCCTTGTCTGTCTTTTGTCACCAGAGGCACTGGTAGAGGCAGCAGGCGAGACACCTACCGGGCTACTTCGTCAGGAGTCTTGGGGACGCATATAAGCGTCTGAAAGTGAGCCGATTCTTTTGCACTAGTCCAGCGGGCTGAGCTATGGGTGCCAGGGACACTAAGAGAAGCATTTTGATAAGGTGTAGAAGGGTTTGCTCATAAAATTGATCTTTGATGGATCCAAGGGTTGTTCAGATTGCAGAGGCAACGCAGACTTTACCCTGTCACCCTTGAACAAGACTCAGAGTGAACTGAAGATCAGATTATGAGCAGGATGAAAATGTAGGCTCTTTGAACAGGTTGGTTACTACACTGATATATTATCAAGAATGTATGTTTATGGTATGGGACAGATAACAGGGGAATCTTTATAATCAAGTTGTTTGTTTCTCATAAAAGATCTACCCTGCTGGCCAGGATTGCTGGTCATGGGAGACCAGTGTCTACCATAACTGAAGCTAGTCTCAGGCTTTCTCTTGTGAGTTTATCCATTGTGGGTTTATCCATTCACTAACAGAGTGTGTGGTTTGTATCGTTTACTGGTGACCTTGGACCCAGGTACAGCCTATTTAAAAACTGAGGGGCCTGTGCTGGGGAAAGACTTAAGTTCACTTTTACCTCTCAGATTTTGCGATCTGTTCTTAAGGAGCAAAACCAAGCAGCTTGATTTTTGAGGCAAGTCCTAAAACACCTCTATTTAATTTCTTTAGGGTACTCTGTCTAAGCTTCAGTGCTCTGGTGGCCTAGTGGTAAGGAGTTGTGCTGCTTACCTAAAGGCAGAGCATTTGAATCCACCAGGTGCTCTGAGGTAGAAAGATGGGCAGTCTCCTCCCATGTGTGTCAGTTCTGACTTGATGGTACATACAACAAATAGCCCCTAAGCTTGAGATTGAGATCAGTTCATATTGCTCCCCTGGTGGCTGGTGCAGGGGAAATGTTTCACATGTACTCTTGTGCTGCCAGCTTAGGAAACCCTATTTCTTCTCTGCCTTACCACAGATAAAGAATGGGAGTTCTGGGTGGGAGGCCCAGCTGCCTGCATGCATGCCAGTCACAGAGAAAGTTGCTGTGTGCTTTGGACACGGTGCTCTGGCATCAACTAGTAGTTGGTAGAGTTGGACTGTTTACCCAAGGGTTGTTCTACTCTGGTGGTCTGAATCCACCCTCTCTGTGGGTGGAAGATGGGTAATCTCTTCCCATTTGATTTTTTAAAAAGCCATTTCCCTGAAGTCGGAACTGACACATAGCTGATCCTCCAGCAGGTTTTCAGGGGCTATAAATGGCACAGAAGGGGACTGCCCATCTTTCTCCTAATGAGCAGCTGGTGGATTCAAACTATCTGCCTTTGGGTTGGCAGCACAACCCCTTACCTACTAAACCACAAGAGCTCCCCCCCCCCATTGATTTACAGCCTCGGGGGGAAAAAAAACCTGCTGGAGGGTCAGGTATAAATTGGCTCTGACTAGATAGCAGTGAGTTTGAGTTTTATTTATTTTTAAGAGGACAGGGAGGAAGGTCTCTATCATAAGGAGAAAAGGCTGGGAGAGACCCAATTCCCAGCCTCTTTATAAGAGAATGTTCTGGACTCAAAGTTTCTGCATAAGCTCCCAAATAGGAAACACAGAGACATACTGTCCTCCAACTCAGAGACTAACCCAAGGCCACACAGTTGGATGGTAGCAGAATCAGATGACTACTTAGGTCTATTCTTTCCAAATCAAAGCCCTTCTGTCAGTGTCTTCTGTCACCTATCTTTTTGGGTTTTCTTAGCTCTAGTGGCCTAGTGGTAAAGAGCAATGCTGCCACCCAAAGGCATGCTGTTCGAATCACCAGCTGCTCCATGGGAGAAAGATGGGCAGTCTCTTCTCATGCAGTTTACTACCTCTGAAAACCTGCTGGAGGTCAGCTATGAGTCAGTTCTGACTTGATGGTTAATAACAAACAACAAAACAAACTTACTTTGGAAAGAAGATGACAGCGAGTGACTTTCTTAGGCTCTAGGCGGATATGAACTCATGTTCTCATCTGCTCCTCCAAACCCCCAGGTCACTGTGGTTCCCGTCAGATCTGGCAGAGCTGCGGGAGCTCTCTGAGGTCCTTCGAGAGTATCGGAAGGAGCACCAAGCCTATGTGTTCCTGCTCTTCTGCAGCGCCTACCTCTACAAACAGGGCTTTGCTATTCCTGGCTCCAGCTTCCTGGTCAGTGCCCTGCACCCCTTCTGCACTTGTCAGGAATCACCACAAGGGCCCCCCAGGCTGCAAATCATACAAACCCCAGGACAAAGACCATAGTTCCCATTTGTCAACTGCTCCCCCTGCATTATGGAGTCCTATTTGTTTTACTTGCATGACCTTGCACCTACTCCTCACTGAGTATCTTACTAATCAACATTTTGCATCTATAAAGCCACCAGGGTGATGGGTGGAGCAGGTGGGTGGGCTGGGGTGGGCCAGTGTGGATGGGATGCCACCTGACATGTCCTGGCAGCCACAGGGGGCTAAGGCCAGGCCAGCAGCAGCTGATATCCTGAAGGTCAGCTAGGAAGGAAGGTCTGGCCCCCAACTCTCAGTCCTGAAGGATGGCAAAATAGACCTAAGTACTAGCTGACATTTCCAGAAAAAAATCAAAGGAATAGGGCATTTAATACAGGTGTGGGGTCGAGCTCCCCGATTAAAACAAGCTTGGAAGGAGGAGTGGCATCCACTTCCATAAGAGCTTGCCTCCAGAAACCCTATAAACCTGGAGAGAGGATGAAAGGCACCCAAGCGTTGAGGACTCTCCTTCATAGGGTTGCTATGAGTTGCCTGCGACTCGACGGCACTTAACAACAACACCATCAGTGTTACTAAACTGATGGAAATTCGTTCATGTGTGCTCCTCATTTAAAGTAGTAAAATGAACTTTTGAGTTTCATTTCTACCTCCTTGGAGCCTCGGCTACAGCCTGCTGTAACCCCATGCAGTGAGCTGAGTGCTGTGCATGTATTATTCCTCCAGTTCTCTCCTGCTCTCCGAGGTTTTATTCTTTATCCTTATTTTAAAGGTGAAGCATCTGTGCCCAGGATTATAACTTTCAGGCTGATCATGCACCCTCCTAAAATGAGAGTTGGGTTTTGCCTGGGGAAACCACTCCGCAGCTTCAGGCCGTGGTGGCTGATGTCTCTGGGATATGCTCGGGCCTGTTGATTCTCTTTGCAGAACGTTTTAGCCGGTGCCTTGTTTGGGCCATGGCTGGGGCTTCTGCTGTGCTGTATATTGACTTCGGTTGGCGCTACGGGCTGTTACCTGCTCTCCAGTATTTTTGGAAAACAGCTGGTGGTCTCCTATTTTCCTGATAAAGTGGCCCTGCTGCAGAAGAAGGTAAGTGGAAGGGACACAGGCCATGCTAGGCCTTCAGAGAATCCCCTCTTGGTACTAGGGGAGTGAGAAGCAGGAAATCCTACAGTGTTCTTCCACCTTGCCTCAAGAAGCATCTCCTTGACCAAGAACTTAGGCCTTCCAGGTCCTTTTGATACCTCGTTGTTGTTATGTGCCATCGAGTCAGACCAACTCCTAGCTGATCCTCCAGCAGATTTCCAGATGCTATAAATCACATGCCAAGAGATTGCCCATCTTTCTCCTGTGGAGCAGCTGGTGCATTCGAACTGTGTGTCTTTGGGTTGGCAGCACAACTCTTTACCCATTAGGCCCCTAGAGCTCCCTTTGATGCCTCTGGGAAACAAATCTGGTGTCAAATCCCAGTCACAGCTCTGCGACTCTGAGCAAGTTCTTGACGTCTCTGAGCCTTGGGAACCTCAAGTTTTAACATGAGGAAACAGTTTTTATTCTGGAAAACTTTGGAGTGTTGGGGACAGAATATGTAAAATGTCTAAGTTCCCTAACACTCACTGCCCTGGGACTAGTTCCGACCTGTGTAACCCTCCATTGTGTATCTGAGGCTGTAAACCTTAAGAGGAAGAAACTGCCCCACCTTGCTCCCCTGGAGCGGCTGGTGGGCTCAAACTTCTGACCTTCCAGGTAGCAACCCACCGTAAGGCACTGTGCCACCAGGCTCTTCACCTGGCCCTGGCGGACTGCAGTACCCTCGCTTACTTTCTGTTCCTTACTGACCTTGTCCTCTTTGGCTACAGGTGGAGGAGAACAGAAGCAGCTTGTTTTTCTTCTTACTGTTTTTGAGACTTTTCCCCATGACACCAAACTGGTTCTTGAATCTTTCGGCCCCGATTCTGAACATCCCCATTGTGCAGTTCTTCTTCTCCGTCCTCATTGGTAAGCTGCCGCTCTGGGGCGTTTCAGTCCTCAGAGCTGCCCTGGGGAGTGGGAGTACTGCCCTGCATCACGTGTGCCCACCTCTCGAGCACAGGCTCCTGAGGAACATCTTCACCTGCTGGATCTAAGGTAGTTGTGCCTGGAGCAGGGGACACGCGGCATAAGCATTCTTCATTCTGCAAATGTCTTGTGGCCTGTTGTGGGCCAGCTTTGTAGCAGGTGCTGAGATTAGGAGAGACTGGAACAGGGTATGTGCCCAGTTAGCACCAGCAGGATGAACAGGCTTGGGTGGGGACTGTGTGGGCAGGGATGTTAGGCTGAGGGCTGAAAAAGGAGTGGAGCAAAGACACGTCCTGACTGGCTGTGGCTCCTATCCTGATTAAGATCTTGCCTTTTGACAAATATGTGACCTTCATTCTGCAGGCCACTTACCCTCAGTGGGCTGTGTGGCCAGGTTAGGGCTAGAGCAGTGCTTCTTGAAGTGTGAGCCTGGGACCACACTTTTATCAAATAGTAAAGTCAGGAAGCTTGTTAAGGATATAGATTCTAGGGCTCTCCTTAAACCTGCTGGATCAGTATTTGCTAGGGATATAATTTTTAGGCCAGCCCCTAATCAGCAGTTCTCAGATTTTGCCAATCACCTGGGGAGCTTTTAATCATCCCGATAGTACACAGTACAAAAGGATTAATTAGTGTCTGAGACTGGAACTGAGGGATCAGGAATTTTAAAGTTTATCAAGAGAGTGCAGTGTCCAGGAGGAGCACATCCCTAGCAAGCGTTCTGCTGTATCCTGGCAAACTGCTGGTTTAAAGACTTCTGAAGTCTCTGCCACAGCCACCATCCTGTAGCATCACTGAGTATTGCTTTCTCCATGCTAGAAGTACACTACCTTTTTTGAACCTATAAGATTTCTTTTTCTTAAACTTTCTCTAGACCATGGAGGGAAAGACAATTTAGCACTTGCAGAACAAACATAACAAATCTATGGTTTAGTAGCTGCTACAAACAGGGAACCCTGAAAATTGAGATGAAGTGATACGACTAATAATCCCAGTCCTATTTATGAGAGAGGGTCCCAGCACCTCAGTTAATGGAGGTGTCAGCTTGAGACTGACCTCAGTGGCACTAGGTTTGGCAAGCTTCTGAAGATTTGTGTTTGTCCCATATCTCTGACTGACAATTTATGTGACCGTGGCTCATTTGTGATTTTGATGCTTCATGTATTATAGAAATGGAATAGATTATCAGAGGGTCCCAAACTAATCTCTGGGGTGTGGAGCTTTTTAAAGTATAGGTTCCTGGGTTCTACCATCAAAAAACTAGTAAGATGTATACAAACGTCCAAAGGAGGAAGAGGAGGGAAATCTCAAGGTCTCAGTGTTTGGTGGGCAGAGGGAGGGGTTGTGTTAAAGGAATTAGGAAAGATCCTGTGGGGACCTGAAAAGGTGGGGTAAGGGTGGGCATGGATCAGTGGTCATTAATTTTGTAAAACAATGTATGGGAATGATTGTATGGAACACAGTGTGAATATAGGAATATGAAACTCCATGTATATAAATGAAACAATATGTATTACTTTTGTACATAAATTAATATAAAAGAAAAATAATAATAATAAAAACCCCAAATCTAAAAAGCTCACAGCCATCAAGTCTCCAGTCATCAAGTTCCACCTGACAGCAGTCCTCCATCGGGTTTTGAGACTGTGCACCAGAGCATCTGCACGGCCTGCCTCTCTGCAGCAGAGCTGCTGGTGGATTGAGACTGTCAGAGGCGCATGGCCTTCGGTTTGTGGTGTAACGTGCTACCGTCCACACTGCTGGAGCTCCCAGCCCAGACCTAGCTAACTAGAATCATTAGGGTGGGGTCCAAGTATCTGTGTAGAATAACAGGGAATTGGAACCAGCCGCACATTAAACTTTTGGGATCCAGGGGATTGATGATCTTTTAGAGAAAGGAAGGGAAGGGACGTGAAGAAAAGATACACTTCATGAAAAGAAGTGCTTCTTAAAATTGAAACTGAAGAAATTGAACAAAAGCATGACCTTGGTTAGATCTCATCTGAATTTAGAGACTATCTCAAAAATAGATGTGGTGCATTGAGCTCTAATGATTCTAATGACCAGGTTACATTGACATATGATCCATTAAAAATGCAAAGGAAAGACTAGACCAGATGTCAGCAGTGACTCTGAAGCTAGATCTTGAGCATTATAACAAGAAATAATGAGGTAAAACCAGAAGATCCTAAAGGATTGTTCGAGAAGACAAAGTAAAATGTCATAATGAGATGTACAAAGACCTAGAATAAGAAAACCAAAAAGGAAGAACATATGTACATTTCTCAAGCTAAAAGAACCGAAAAAAAACGCACGTTTCAAGTTGGAATTTTGAAAGATCTCTGGGGCAAGTATTCTGTGACGCAGGATACACAAAGCCACTGTACCAACAAGAGTTGGCCATGGTTTCACCATTTAAGGGTCAGAGATGATCAGAAAGGACTAGAATGGAAGGAAGAAGTCGAGATTGCGCTGAGCATTGGTGAAAAACAAGGCGCCAGGAATTGACCAAATACTGGTGAAAATGCTTCAACAGACAGGTGCAGAGTTGGAAGCACTTGGTAATCCATGCTAAGAATTTTCTAAAACAGCTACTATGCCAACTGACTTGGAGAGATCCATATTTGTGCCTGTTTCAAAGAAATGATTACAGCTTACTTGGCTCCATAATCAACACTCTTAACACCAGCAGTCAGGAAATAAAAAGATAAATTGCATTGGGAAAATCTGCTGTCAGGGACCTCTCCAGAGTGCTGAAAAGCAAGTGTCAGTCTAGAGACTATGGTGCGCTTAATCTAGGTCATGGTCTTGGCAATTACTTGCTATGCATCAGACAGCTGGACAATGACTAATGATGACAGAAGAAGAACTGAAGCCTTTGATTTGTGATGCTGGAGAAGAGTCTTGAACATTCCATGGACTGCCAAGAAAACAAATAGATCTGTTTTGGAAAGGGTGAAACCAAATTTCTCCTTGGAGGCTAGGATTTTGAAGCTCTGTCTCACATACTTTGGGCATGGGGTCAGGAGAGATTGGTCCTTGGAGCAGGACATCATACTTGGAAGGATGGAGGGACAATGCAGGAGAGGAAGACCCTAGATAAGATGGATTGATTCAATGGCAATGGCAATGGGGGTTGGTGTGTTGGAGTCAGTGAGACTAACTCAGGACAGGGCAGGCTTCAGAGCTGCTGTGATAGGGTCACTATGGGTTGCAGATGACTCGACGGCACATAACAACAACAAAGAAATATGATGTATCAGAGCATGGAAGTTACTGAGCAGTCATTAATATCACAAGTAAAATTTTGCTGAAGATAATTTAAAAAAATTACTGTATCAGTACACCAGCAAGGAACTGCCAGAAATTCATGCCAGATCCAGAAGAGCTGGGATAAAGGATATCCTTGCTGATGTCAGTTGGATCATGGCTGAAAGAGAATGCCAAAAAGACCCCTGTGTTTTATTGACTATGCAAAGACATTTAACTCTGTGGGTCATAACAGATTCTCTGGAATACTGTGAAGAATGGGAATTTCAGAACACTTAATTGTGATGCTGTAGATCAAGGGCCGGCATTCAGACAGGACAGAGGGGTCCTGCAGTGTTTCAAAACAGGAAGGGTGTGCGTCAGGGTTGTATCCTTATACTTAGGTTGTATGCTGAGCAAGGAATTCAAGAAGTTGTGAAGAATGCAGCATCAAGATCATTAACTGCTATAAGCAGAAAGTGAAGATGACTTGTGATACTTACTGATGAAGATCAAAGACTTTAGTGTGGATTATATCACAGCAGAAAATAAAACCCTCACCCCTAGACCAGTGAGCAACATTATGATCAACAGAGAAAAGATTAAAGTTGTCAAGGATTCCATTTTACTTGGTTCCATAATCAACGGCCTTGGAAACAGCAGACAGGATATTAAATAACATGTTGTATTGAGTTGTACATACAGTGGTGTCTCTCTGGAGACTAAGGTGCTTTTGATACAGGCCATGGTTTCACAATCACTTGTTATGCATCAGAGAGTTGGACAATGACCAAGGAGGATAGAAGGAGAATTGATGCCTTTGAGCTGTGGTGCTGGAGAAGAGTATTGAGAGTACCATGGACTGCTAGGAAAACAAACAGATTCATCCTGGAACGGGTTAAACCGGGCAGCTCCTTGGAGGCAAGGATTCTGAGGCTCCATCTAGCATACTTTGGACATGTTGTAAAGAGGGACAGGTCCTTGGAGAAGGACATCATGCTTGGTAGGGTAGAGGGATAGCGCAGGAGAGGAAGGCCCTTTATGAGGTGGATTGATTCAGTGACTGGGGTAATCGGGGATGGGTGTATTGGAGACAGTGCGATTGGCACAGGATAGAGCCAAGTTTAGGGCTGTTGTACATAGGGTCGCTATGAATTGCAAGCAACTCGATGGCCCATAATAACAACATTGAGTTGTAAAAGTGTGTGTGTGTGGGGAACCCCACCAAACCAACCCAAAACACAAACCCAATCTGCTCCTGACTACTTTAAAATGTTATGTCATTTTGAGACCTAAAGTGTGCCTGCCCCAAGCCAGTATATTCATTTGCCTTGTATGTATGTGAAAGCTGGACAATGGATAAGAAAGACTGTAGAATTGAGGTGCTGAAATTACAGTATGCAAAAATTCACACTCATTGCTGCCGAACTGGAACTGACTGACAGCTGACCCTCCACTGCGTTTTTGGCGGCTCTGAAATCGCAGGGGAAGAGACTGCCCTTTTTTCTCCAGAGGAGCCGCTGGTGGCTTCAGACAGCTAGAAGGGCACTGCCCTTTGGGTTAGCAGCACAGCTCCCCATGGACCACGCCACCAGATCTCCCCCAGTTATGGCATTAGCAAAGAATTTTGAGAATGCCATGGATGTCAGAACAAATGCAGCTGAAACAAACAAAACTTATTTTGAAAGAAGCCAGCCAGAATGTGCCTTAGGTTAGATGATGCCAGGACTTCATCTTACACACTCTGGACATGTTATCAGGAGGGACCAGTGCTTGGAGAAGGACATCATGCTTGGTAAAATAGACGGTCAGGGAGGAAGAAACCTTCAGTGAGATGCCTTGATTGACACAGCGACTGCAACAGTGGACTTGGCCATAGCAATGGTGGTCAGGAGGTGTTACAGGGTGCAGTTTCGTTGTATGGAGGGTTGCTGTTGGGTCAGAACCAACCCTATAGCCCTGGTGACAATTTCTAAACAACTGGATTTTGTTCTCAGTGCACATTGCAAGCTCTTTCTTTACCCTGATTCCTGGGCTCGTGCTGCCAAATTGAGACCCATCTCAAGCACATCAGTGTACCTTATGCATTCTTGTGCTGAATTCACGCCATAACTGACTTTTCTGCACTCATTTTGCTTTTAAAAATGATTTTAATATTTTTATCTTGAGATTTTATGTGTATAGATATTTGTTAACTGCCTCAAGTTTTGTTTTGTTTTTTGAAGCTCGGTTATGGGAAGTGAGGAGAGAAAGGGGAAGGGCTGAATGGGGAGAGAAGTGCTGTGTGTGGGAGTCCAGCAGGAGAGCTGGAGTCTTAACTCCCTGAGGACTTTGCTTCTGCTCACTCTTCTCCCTTTTCTCCTTCCAGGTTTGATCCCCTACAATTTCATCTGTGTGCAGACAGGCTCCATCCTGTCCACTCTTACCTCTCTGGATGCTCTGTTCTCCTGGAAAACTGTCCTTAAGCTGTTGGCCATTGCCCTTGTGGCCTTAGTTCCTGGGACCCTCATTAGGAAATTTAGCCAGAAACACCTTCATTTGAATGAAACAGTCACCGCTAATCATCTAAACAGTAAAAAAGGCACGTGATCTGGACTTTTCTTGCTGTCACACCCACGGACTCTTGCTTATTTATGAACTGGCGTGTTCCTTAAAGCCCCTCACTGGTTCTTAATTACCCTAAAGAGGTGAGTTAGACACTCTTCAACTGTGGTCATTGTCTTTTCATAAAAGACACACTGTTCTAGAAGGTGAATTAGATTAGACTTGTCCTCAGTGTAGGTTAAGTTTAGCAGGGAGGGCATCCTGGGAAGTGGATGGCCTTGGAAAGCCTATCTCTGTTCTACTGACTAACAAGGGGACTGAGGATAGTCTGAGCATTCACTTCTTGCCAAGTCCTGAGCTGCCCTGGAAGAGATGCTGGTGTCCCGTCTCGAGGGTGCCTCTTGCAGTGATAGGTTCTTGTGACCAGGGTCTCATGGTAAGTTCCCTGTTGATGTTATTAAGGTACATGATGACGTGTGAGCCCCTATCACTTTGTGTATCGAAGAGGGTTTCTCCTGTCATTTTTTATGGATAATCTACCTCTCTCATAAGCCAAGGGAAAGAGACTGACGGGCCACACAGGACTCCACAGATGGTTCAAATGCACTGTCATCTGTGATGCTGTTTGCCTTCAGACTCTGATGTTACCACGGAGAGCAAACCTCATGGCTGCATGTCATGACACTGAAGCTGATCACAAACAGACTACTAAACATGAATGACGCAAACTATGTCATAGAGACCTTCCTCCCCATCCAGATGGGACTGCAGAGCAGGGCCTTTGACGCAGTGACGTCCAGGGACCGAAAGTCCATGTGCTCATCCGCCCTGGGTTAGTGCCCTGCCACCATTGTCCTGCTAGGATGAGTCAGCAACTATATTCTCTAACTGTTTTCTTTTTTGTTCTGTTACTTGCCAAGAGAACACAAGAATGATTTTCTCTCTTCAGGCAGCATTTGGGGTTTAATTTTTTATTATGTTGTGTTTCCACTCTCCGCAGTCCTTGCTCTCATAGCTGCAGTGCGGAGAGGGCACAGATCCCGTTAACAGTTCCAATAAAGGCCTTAGCACTCACCCTGACCGCCTCTGGGCTCCTGTCAACAGGAGTAACCCGGTGTCACTCAGCACTCAGCACCGTTACTCCTGGGCTGCTTCTGCTGGCTTTCCCCCTTGGCTTGGCCAAGAATCTTGCCAAGAACATTAGTCTAGGCCTCCTGTTCTACATGAATTCTTGTGGGTACTTACGCTCAGTGGGAAGACTCATGTATTTGGACATGATAGAATCCTTTCACACCAAAGAGTTCATTTCAAAAATGTGTTTCTTTAAGAGACGTTTTGATAGCAAGAGGAGGGGAGGGAGGAGCAGACAGGACTTGAAAACCAAGGCTCTGTTCTGTGAAGAGGGAGGGAAGAAGAATAAGGGATTTTATTTGTGCCCTTTGCCCTTTGTCAGAATCCTTCCTCTTTCAATTTTGTAACAATGTGCCTTATCAGTTGTGCATTTACAGACAATCAGTTTCTCCAAATAAATGTTATAAATGTTCTGCCTGGTGCTTGTTTAAACATGTTCATTTTTACCTACCCTAAACAGCAGGAATTAAGACAGGTTGAAAATCAGACAACCCAAACTGGTCTTTCAGCTTTCTTTCTCGGTAGGCTTCCTGGGAGTCTGAATTGGAAACTAGTTTTTCACTTTTGTCTTTTCCCACATACTGGTTTATCTGGAGCTCTGGTGACCTAGTGATAAGAAGCCCTGCTGCAATCTCAAAGGCATGCAGTTCAAATCCAGCTGCTCCTTAGGAGAAAGATGGGCAGTCTCTCCTGTGCAGTTTATGGCCTCTGAAAATCCACTGAAGGGTGAGTGATAGGTTAGTTCTAACTCTAGGCACACACCAGGAATGACAGCAATGCTAAAGAACCCACTCACAGCTTAGCCTCCAGCAGGTTTTCAGAGGCTACAAATCGCCTGGGAGGAGATGGTCCATCTCATGGAGCGGCTGGTGGATTCGAACCTCCTGCCCTTGGGTTGGCAGCATAACTCCTACACAGACCTTCTTTTCTTCCCTGTGGTGTCCTGCTGTTCATCTTGTAGCTATTTCTCCCTTAATAGTGACTGCCACTAGGGAGCTCGGGTGGCCAGGACAGAATAGTCAAGAAGAAACTCTGACAAGAGAATGGGGATCCCATTTCCTTTTGTGGCTGTGTCTGAAGCAAAACAGCCAAAGGAACTGAGCTGCCCCATCATCTGTCTTGCCTGGTTACTGGAAACCCAGCCAGGTAGTTGTCCTTCCCCCTAACTTCTAATTCCAAGACTCTACTACTTACTATGGCAGCTCCCAGGATGCACACAGTACCTTCCAGAAAAGACAGGACCAGAAAACAATGCTGTACACTTGTGTTTTTTTAATTCCATGCATTTGTTTGCTTTGATGGTCATTCTTGTTCCCATTGCTGTACAGTTTTGTTCAACACAAGAGGGAGCAGCATCAGAGAACACCCCAGCAGGAGAACAGACGGTACAGGAGAACTGACTTAGACTTAACCAGGAGAAGGAAATGGATTTGCTCCAAATTGATAGGAAATCAAGTTGCTGGAGTCAAGAGTCAAAGAAGGTCTTTAGCTCCACTTCCAGAGTCTGGGGAACAGGCACTCTGGAGGTCAAGAGCTACCCAGGGGACAGGCTGATAAGAGGCAACCTCCTAAGAGCTTACACGTTTTGCCTGGGCATTTTCCCCAGGGATCCCTCTGGCCTGGAGGAGAGCAGTCAGGGCCAGGAGCTGGGGTCCCCAAATGGTGTGGAGTGGCTCTGGAGATTAGGCCTGGAATTCTGCTGGGAATGTTTTACCATCACACCCTGCGAGTGCAACAATCAACAGAGCCTCAGCCCAATCCTCGGGTAAACCTATTTTAGTGATTTCAGAAGTCCCCTCTTCTGCCACTTGTCCCTGAGAAGTACAGGTCCCTCTTGGTGGCCTTATTCAGAAAGGCTTTTGTAGAATTAGTCACATGCAAACTAACAGACTAATGTGGTTCTAACATGCCAGGCTGTGAGGTTAACACTGGTATATGAACATAACTTGGACATTTTCCTATGAAATCAACAAAGAAGAGTTTTGCTGCCTGGAAAGGCACTAAATTGATACAGTACAAGCCAAAACCTTGAAAAGACTGTCACATTATTTCAGTACATTAGTCTCACAGAGTATAAGGAAAAGGTAGACAACTGGGACTTCACATGTGAACTTTGTTTATCAAAGGTGAGGGGGTCCTTGGGAGAAAGATGAGCAGTCAACTCCCTTGCGATTTACTCCCTCTGAAAACCCATAGGAGGGTCAGCTGTGAGGTGGTTCTGACTCTAAACAATGAGAGGCACTTAAAAAAAGGTGAGGAGGGGCATGCCCAAAATGAAATAATGTAAATGAAGAGGTGTTTTGGAACTCAGTCCATTAGTGATGAGTGATTTGTCAACTGAAATTGTCCAAAGGGCAATGGGTGAAGACAAGTGGCCTCTGCCTGGCCGGGGGGCCATGCCCTGCCAGCCATATATAGGAGCCCTAAGAACAGAGGTGTGATTTGTCAGCCTTCCATGGTTGTTGCTGGGTGCCACTGACTACTCCTCTTAGTGACCCATGAACACTAGGACTAGGAAGCAGAACAGGAACCTAGACAGATTTCCTGTTGACACCAATTCCCATGCAGTGACCATGGTTGCTCCAGTGTTATGGGAGGTTTGACGCCCTGTCCTGACTCATTACAAAAGAAAAGCCTGATCAGTAAATAACGCCAACTGTGGTAGATGGCAGCATTGTGGTGGCGCTTTGGTTCAGTGGAAAAAGCAAAACAAAAATGGCCCATCATCCCTGTTCGGGAGCATTCTGTTGTCCAAGTAGGAGTGTTTTAAAAAAGGGAAGATAACTGAGATGTAAGGACATGAGGAAACAGGAGAGCACATCATTTCCTCACTAAGGAGGCATTTCCACCGAAGATGCCAGTACTCCACAGTGGGCGGCTGTGAGTGTAAAACAGGCAGATTCCAAATCACATTGTGTTTTGGAATGTTGTTGTTAAGTGCCGTGGAGTCGCAAGCGACTCATAGCGACCCTATGAAGGAGAGTCCTCAACGCTTGGGTGTCTCTCATCCTCTCTCCAGGTTCATAGGGTTTCTGGAGGCAAGCTATTATGGAAGTGGATGCCACTCCTTCCAAGCTTGTTTTCATTGGGGAGCTCCACCCCACCCTCTGTCCACATTGGGTAACCAGCCATTAATGCATTTGACACATCAGTGTCACAGTGTTTTGGAAAAGACAAGGGGAATTTAGTGCAATGAGATCCTGACTTGATAGTCTAGTACTTACTTAAATCCTATTTAAAGTGCCCTTAACTCTAGAAAGGTGGACTTGATACTGATGTTTCAAAAACATGTGACCCTCAAGTGTGTTGTTGGTGCGTCATGGAGTCAGAACCAATTCATAGCTAATCCTCCAGTGGGTTCTCAGAAGCTGTAAATTGCATGGGAGACTGTTCCTCTTTCTCTCTGGAGCAGCTAGTGGATCCTGACCCACCAGACCACCAGAGTTTCCTGGCTTCCAAGCGGGCCAGACCAAGCCGTTTTTCAAAAGAGCTCGTGGTGGTATGGTCACCTTTTTGCGTAGGCCGGAGCGTGAGTGCACCATGGTCTTGCACAAGAGTAAGCGAGGTCACTGTTATTTCAAAGTAGATGCCGCCCTCTCCGCCTCTCTTTAGGAGGCATGCTATTCAGAGGATGTGATCTAGAAATAGATGGAAACCAGAACCAAATGCTCATCTGCAGCACAAATTAAAACTCATCTTGTGGCCAGTCAAAAATAGATCTAAATGAATGCAGACATTTATCCCAAGAGGCTCAATCAACGAGAAAGCTTAAAACCACAGCTCTGTGAGGTTCCTTGAAGTACTGCTGTACAATTGTCACAACAGCAGAGTTCGGAGTTAAATTCCCTGAGTCAACTTTTTTTTTTTTTCAGATGACCATGTTTGTTATCAAAGAAACACATCAATACAAGATTTCCCTGGTCATCTGAGGTAGTGAAGGGTGGGTGAAAAGAAGTATTTCCTTTTTAAAGTATTTCCTTCCCTCTAGCCAAGGTAAAAATGTTCAGTGGAAACTTGGTTCAACTCCTGACTGTACAGTGAGTGGCTGAAAACTCAACATGCTCTACTACCCTAACATGTTCCTAAAAGAATCCGGATACAGTGTGGCATCATCATGACAGATAGACAAGATGAGAATTGAAAAAGCTGATCAAAATGAAGTACTATCAGGTCAAAGTTGTAATAAACCCTCACGATTCTTTCGCTACTGACGATGGGCAGGAAGAGCAGGGCCAACTGATGCCCCCCATGTCTTGTGGACAGAGAGAGAACATCTCTAGGAGTAATGAAGCAGAGAGATTCACACAAGAGAATATGGCCTGAAGACGGAGGATGGAAAATGTGGCCATTCAAGGCATTTTCCAGTCCTCTGGCCCTTCAAGGAATTGGGCATCATTCTAGAATTTCTCTAGTTTGGTTATGGGCTGGCATCACATCCAGGCAGCTGACGTGATGCTCTGTGGGTGCATCTTTAGTCTCCTTTCTACACCAACACAGGAAGGGGAAAGCCAGTCTATGGGACCTGATGGGGAAAGAGCCCCAGCCATGCTGCCCAGTTCTTGAAACTGTCTAACCCGTGTGCCCCATGCAGAAACGCTGTAGGGTAGGTCTTCTGCTCTCACGCCATTAAAGAATTCTCTTTTTGCTCCTACAGTAGTCCATTGATTTTATTTCTTCAGAAACTTGAGCAAGTTTACAGCTTTGAACTGTTTATCCATTCACTCAGACACCTCCCATCCAGGCGCGTTCATGGTCAAGTCCAAGTGACAACGCATGCAGCGGGCGGGGAAGAGCCGCCCCCCCTCAGATGATTGTGTTTGTGCACAGAGAAGCAGGGAACTCAGCTAAGACGAATGCCACGGGGCTCCCCAATTGCCATTCCTTCATAAAAATCACATAGTTCATGGTTAGCAAGAAACACAATCATTGTGTAAACCACACCTTCTGATCGACAGAAAATGAGAACGATAATAATTATAAAATAAAATAACAATGATAATAATGCCATAACTTAAGATCTTTCATGTAGTCCCGCTACAGAATTTGTACAAAATGGAATAATTTAACGCAAACAATACTGTTCTCTGTATAAATTAGACATTTTCCTTCATCCTCACTAAGAGCTATACATTACAGACACTAAATTTAAAAAAAAAAAAATCAAAGTTTCAACATAAAGTGTAAACAAATGGAGGGCTCAAACAAGCAAAAGAAAGAAATGGCTTTAGGTTCCCTCCTGCTCCCCCCCTTCATTTGGCGATGCAATCCATGGAGCCCCGGGAAGGGGCGACATTTTCATCTGCATTGGAAGGGTTGTGACACCTGTGTGCTTGAGCCTTTCTTCATGGCAAACACAGGGCGGGATGCAGGAGTCCAGCCATCTGTTTCAGGTCCTGAGCCTAGAGGTCGTTTGACATTATCTACCTGGGAGACAGGGACTGGAACAACACCCGTTTGTACATAGAGTCTTAGATAAGAGTTTCCTTTAGAAGCCGAGGCACCACACAAAACCTTGAGATTCTTTTTTTTTTTTTCAGAGTCAGTAACACTGAAGACTGGAAGAGCCTTGTGCCTTTGGCCACGTAAGTCTTTGCTCAGCAATCAGTGGTTCTAATTTCCAAATCTAATTATGTACTCAAAACTGCACTACGGCGTGCTATCGATGCTAGTGATCCAAAAGGAAGTCAAGCACGTTTTAAAAGCAGCATTTACCAGAATGCTCTGTTGGTGGGAAGAGAAGTAGCCTCATGCACGTTGTTTATTTTGCCTCTATTCTGACAGTGGTAGCCAGTCCCTATACCTTTCAGGAGAGAATGAGTTAATAAATAAAGTCAAAGGGGATGGCATGGATTGGACATTGGACAGGCTCACACACACACTAGCTGCCTTCAAAGTCTGTCCTCCTGTTGGAACAAATGTGATGGTGGGAGACTGCAACCTGGTTCCAGAGAGGGGCGACCCCATCTCCAGGTAGCTCAACCAAGACACTCGGAACCACTTCTACCCCCAGGGGTTTCCTAACACTGTTGTACATTTTCTGTTGTCTTCTCTTGTCCTCTCTCTTCCTTCCTGAAGGAGGTGGTCCACAGGTAGAAAGGACATAAGCTACAAGCAAATGGCACTTGAATGGGAAAAGTCAACACACTGGTCAAAGTAGCACATCTGTCAAGGCCAAGATAAAGACAGCATTACAAAGGGAAGTGCTTGCCAAGCACAAGGTTTACCACTAACACTAAGTCTCGCTGCCAGATGCACTTGAAAGTATAAAGAACGGACAGTATCCACGTACACAGAGTTTCTTTTTTTTTTCCTCCCAGAGGAAGCACATGACCTGAAAGACTTAAGGTGAAAACCTCTAGTTACCAAACTTTGCCAGGCTTTTTCTATCACCCATCTGGTCAAACTGGTTGAACTTACTGTGATTTGCTCACAGGTTCCCTGGAATTGCTTTTCTTTTGTTCTTCCCTGTTTCCTCAAATGCTCACTATGTCTTGCTCTGGCTCTTGTTCAGTCACTTACAGCCAAAAGATCTGGTCCCTACTCAAGCAGCAATAAAGCTCTCAGTCCACCAATTCCCAATGACGAGGCTCCTAAATTCCATCCACTCTTCTTTCTTTTTTTTTTCTCAACAAATTATGGTGTCTCTCTCTATATATCATTTATAGTTCACTCTTTACAGTACAAAGTGTTAAAATGTCAAACAAAAATAAATATCAATGTTACAGTAGCTAGAATATTCAATAAAATAGATCCCTGCCATTCTTGATTGAAATGTTCAGTGAGACTTAATTTCATTTGGATTTTTCTGTTTCTGAGATTTGCGAAGTCTCATAGGTCCCTGTTATTGCAGCTCGTTTCTGGGGGTAGTGAAGATAGGGCAGCTCTCTCCCCAGGCGAGAAAGCAGGGAGAGAGTGGGAGCAAACGCCAGCACGCACGGCCGCGAGCTCTTCGGGACGGGTGTTCTTTCATTACCAGGTGGCAGAGCTGTAGTGTTTATTGGTCCTAACCGTGGCATCAGAACACTCGCCTTCTGAAGAGTCACAGTCCGAGTCTTCAAACTGCATAGGATTCTGCAAAGTCAAGGTGAAACAGAACCTTAACTCAATTCTGAAATCACTAAACGTGTACTGAATACTTCTCATGTGACAGGCATTGTGTGGAGGAAGGGGGAACAGAGAATTGAGTCCAGGTCCTGTCCTTGTGGGGCTTATGAGGAAAGAAGACACCTAAAGATAATGATGTTTCAGCTACACCTAAGGAGATTTTGAAGAATTCAAATCCTGTAACCAACCTATCTAGTAAAATTATTTAATTTAGCAATAGCTTAATGAGGGGTCTTCTGTTTAAAGATTATTCCTGAGCATGGTGGTGGTTGTTTCTGATTGCCTTTTAGTCGAGCATGACTCATAGTGACCCTATGAACAAAAGGCCTGAAGCCTCTTTACAGCTGTCAACATCTATCAAAGATCATAGAGTTTCCAGAGGCATGTTATTTAGGAAGGGGATGCCACTCTTTGGGATTCATCTCGTCTGACCCAGATCGTGTTTATGATCTCATTTTCCTGACTTGATTGCTAGAACTTTCTCTTTAATATTTCCTAGATTAAGAGTGCTACTGAAACCTACACAGCACCCATAACACCATCTGAGCCTCCTCTGACAGACAGGTGGTGACTGTGTTGAGGTGCACAGACCAGGAGTTGAACCCAGGTCTCCTGCATGGAAGGCGAGAATTCTACCACCGGGCCACCACTTTCCCCTTCTTAAGGCGGTTCTTGTTATGTGCCATCGAGTTAGAACCGACATACAGCTGACCCTCCAGTGAGTTTTCAAAGGCTGTAAATTCCACGGGAGGTGACAGCCCATCTTTCTCCTGTGGAGAAGCTGGTGGATTCAAACCCTATGCCTTTGGGTTGGCAGTGCAACCTCTTACCACGAAGCCTCCATAACTCCAATCAAATATAAAATATTTGAATATAAAATAAAGTAAATGTACTTTGTAACAGAATCAAGAGAATAGTGGGAATACAGACCCAGAGCATCATATCCTTACCTAGGCTGGAAAGAGGTGATGTTTGAGCTATATATGGAATGAAGGATTCCTGAATAGTTCAAGGTTTGTGTCTCATTTAGGAGAAGCTGCTCTTATTTTTAGAAGCTCTTTTGATCATTATATCTACTTTACAGAGGCAGTTACTGAATTAGATCTACTAAATGACAATCTTAAAGGCCCTTGGGACTCTGAAGGTGATCTGGCCCCGCAGAGCTCCGGGGAGGGAACAGCACCGAGCGGGAAGGACACCCACCTCGTAACCTCGCTCCTCCACACACAGCTTGCCCAGAGACATCTGTGTCTTCACGCGGTTCACGGCACATTCCTTGTCCGAGAGCCCGTCCGAATGTGATGATATCTCAATGGGGATCTCTGGCGTCTGGGACAGCAGGTCCTCCAGCTTCTCGGCCAGGCGGTCTTCAAGTTTGCCAGCTAGCTCGTCAGGGCTGTTTGAGTGGTCGCTGGTATTTCCCTCCTCACCATCAGACACAGAGAAATTCTCAGAGCTGAACGTTGAATAGGACTGACAGCTGCTGATACAGCGATGGGGCCTGAAAACACAGAGAGCCAGACGGCCTTCAGCCTAAGAGTGTCTCCTCACCCCTCTCCGTCTGCTAGTCACAGCCCTGGGCACAAGCTTTCCCTGAAGGGAGATTCTACTCCAGACAGGAGGAAGCCACTCTGTTTTAAAGCCACAGAGATGGAAGGCTGACCTGCTTTTTTCATTTAAGTGGCTAACCGCTTCACTCCAAAGCCGAATGAGTGGTGTACTTGAGTCTTTGAAGAAAGTAGTAGGCCTGGTCCCATTGTGTGACACACATGCTGTAGAAATGCCCAAATGGACATTGTACTCCTTACTCAGAGCCACAGGTTCTACAGGTGTGAGAGATTCTAGATCCTTGGGTCTCAGAAAAGTGGAGCCAGAGAAGGCAAGAGATTTCTTATGGATCAAAAATTGTCTCTCAACATCTGTAAATCCTAAACCTCTGCAGCATTGGATATAATTCCATTTGAGAAAAGGGTTTCTTTGTTTTGTTTTGTTTGTAAGAGCATTTCCGTGTAGGATGTATTCTAAGCCAATCACCTTTGAGATCTAAAACAGACAGGTCTGGCACAGAAGGGAAGACCCCCACACCACATTAACATCATGAAGGAGCTGAGGGGCAGAGGCTGAGAGAGAAGGACCTTCATCCAGAGCAGACTGGGGAAATTTTCTCCTAGAGGAGATACCCTGAATTGGACCTTGTGACCTCTGGTCTGTGAGAAGATAAATGTCTGTTAGTTAAAACTAACCGTTTGTGAAAGAACAGATTGGAGGTGATATATGATTGAGTATTAAGGTTAGCACAGGAATCCAGAATTAGAGAAGTGCACAGAGAAGTGTACTCGGGGTGGGGGGTGGGGGGAAAGGGATGGGGGAATTGTATACTAATGAAGGAATTTTTTTCCCCCTTTTTCTTTTTTGGAGAGGGGAGCGGACTGGTGGGGAGGGGTGGGCAGGGAGAAAAGTGCGGCAATGAATGAATGGAAATCCAAAACCTCTGTAAATGTCTATTAAAATTAATTAAAAAGAAAACAAACAAACCAAAAAACCCCTAACCATTTGAATTTCTCCTACAGCTCCACCTGATAGCTCAGACAGGTCTTCAGAGAAGGCCAAGTGGAGGCTACTGCTTCGTGGTCCTCCCCAGCTGCTCCTCTGCTGACCATGTGCCTGCCGCAGAGCCCATGGCCCTGGGGGACAGCAGCCTGGACAGCCAACCGGAGGGCTCAGGAAGGAGCGATCACTCTGTGGTGGGCTCGTGGCTCGCCCCAGTCAACATTCTGGGTTTAGCTCCAATGAAGCAAAATTTCTGAGGGGAGATTTCATAAAGGCACCTTGTCTTTTCCTGTTGTTTCTAGACAGCCTGGCAAATGAGCATACTAGAGAGGTGCTCTGATCCCCGAAGCCTGCAAGTCTGGGGGATGGGCTCCACCAGCAGCCCCGTGCCTCCTCTTGTTGAGGTTTAAGACTTGCAAACCTGACACAGGGTTGCTATGAGTTGGAACCGACTCGACAGTGAGAAGCAGTGAGAAGGAATCAATTAGCTTATGCTGCTAAAGAACAAATGATGCACCACATCAAGACAAAGGTAAACAACCCAATCGTGAAGTGGGCACAGGATATGAACAGACACCTCACCAAGGAAGACAATCAAATGGAGAACAACACATGACAAAATGTTCAAAATCCCTAGCTCTAAGAGAGATGTAAATTAAGACAACTATGAGGTATCATCTCACCCCAGTAAGACTAGCAAAATTTAACAAAGCAGCAAACAACAAATGCTGGTGAGGTTGTGGAGAAACTGGAACTGTTATTCACTGTTGGTGGGAGTGTAAAATGGTGCAACCACTATGGAAGGCTGTATGGCACTGTTTCAAAAAGTTGGAAGTAGAAATAGCTTTTGACCTAGCAATTCTGCTACTGGGAATATAACCTAAAGAAATCAGAACTTCCACCCAAACAGATATAAGTACACTTAGGTTTATTGCTGTGTTGTTCACAATACCAAAGAGATGGAAACAAAGTGCCCATCAACAAACGAATGGACAGAGAAGCTGTGGATCAATGAACGGAATAGCGCACAGCACTGAAAAACAAGGAACTCATGAAATATTATACAAAATGGGTGACCCTGGAGGACATTATGATGAGTGAAATATCTCTATCTCAGTCATAGAAGGACAAATACTGCATAGTGCCACTGTTGTAAAACGGGACTAACATGGGGGCTGGGGGAAACTAAGAAAAGAAGGGAATAAATAATATATACTGCATTGAAATAGATGAGGGAGAGAACTGTATAAAAGGAATATGTGATTAAGTATTATCTGCATGACAACAATCCAGAATAAGAGGTACAGAGCAAAGAAGACTAGGGGATTGTGGGGCGGAATAAGAGGTACAGAGCAAAGAAGACTAGGGGATTGTGGGGCGGAAGGAAACTGCAACAGTGAAAGAACCTTTTTTAAAGAGAAAAGTGAACTGGGGGAGGGGGCAGGGAGGAAAATGTTCAACAATGAATGAATGGAAATTCAAGTTCTCTATATACTTTCGCTAAAATCTCAATTAAAAGAAAAAAAATTTTAAAAAGAACAAATGATAAAAACACTGTCCCCCCTCTGCCCTGAGCATTAATCTGATCTTTTTTGTATTTCTCCATACAAAGTGATTTTGATGGCATATAATCTGTGCCTGGTTGAGAAGTGAACCAGAGGAGAGAAAGAGAATGAGGAAGGGATGAAGCGGAGGAGGAGGAGGAGGGAGAGCAGGACACGTGAAAAGGTCAATCAAGAGTCCAGCTGAAGGACGCCCATGTGCGAAAGGGAAATTAAAGCAGTGCTCTCATGGTTTCCCAAACCCAGCAATCCAGAAGAGAGGCCGGTGAGGATACTATAAAAAGCAAACCTGTGCAGTACAAATGGAAATTAACTTGCCTCACAGCAGAAAAGCAAGGTGGGAAGCCTTCAGGTGGGCTGAGCTCGTGACGTGAGATGCAATGGGAGCCACATATTCCTAACGCCAGTAGGTTGTATTCAGGGAACAAAAAGACATGTTTCACCCCACTCACTCTCATCGCAGGGGAGGAACCAGCATTCACGGAGACACGAAGGTGACAATAGCAGGGTGACATGCACAAGGCAGGCAATGAGAGCAGATATCAACTACACACTGGCACATGGGCCCGGAGCACAATGTACCGAAGGGCTTGCCCTTATGCACCTTTGTGTTGGCCCAGACTCACCATCAACCCCATCTGAGGACAACAGATCCAAAGCCTGCCTGGTCCTCCCGGGCCATCCTCACCACCTCTGCTGTAGTCACTGTGTCACTCTGTCTCACTGAGGGGTTCCCCCCACCTTGCCGACTCCCTACTTTTCCAAGCATGGAATTCCTTACTAGAAGGGAATCCCTGTCCCTGGAAAGGTACAAATCCCCTTCCAGGGAGACTTTTCAAGCCATATTCATCAAGAACTGAATATTATTAGCAGAATAGCCCATCTGGGAGGAAAATACTGTCCTTAACTCCAAAGAAAAAGTAGGTAGAAGACAAAAAACCAAAACAAAACAAAAAGCAAACTGCAAGGCCACCGCTGAGTTGATTGCACTGTGTCTATAGGAGAGCAGAGCTGCCCCACTGGTTTTTGCAGGCTGTAATCTTTACCGCAGCAGACTGCCTCACCAGGCTTGCATGGAGTGGATGGTGGATTTGAACTGCTGACCTTTGCGTTAGGCCACTGTGACAGCAGGGCTCATCAAAGCAGGCAGATGTGGTCCTTTAATCCTACCAGCAACACTGTCATCCCTGGTTAAGCAGGAATTAATACTAAGGCCGGTTTGAATGAGAACTCACGTAGCCATACTTAATAAGTGGTCTCAAATAAAGAACAAATCAATAAAACAGCATGGCCTCAGCAAAATAGGAATAGAAGGGAATTTCCTCAACACAGGGAGAAGTATTTATACAAACCCAAGAGCCAACATCATTCTCAATGGAGAAAGACTGTAGGCATTCGCCTTGTGAGCAGGGACCAGACAAGGTTGCTCACTTTCCCCATCCCTATTCAAGACTGTAGGGAAAGTACTTGTGACGGCAATATGACAAAAGAAGGGAAAAAAGGGCCTCCAGATCTGCAAAGAGGTGGTAAAACTGTTACTACATGGAGATGATATGCTATTGTACACCAAAAACCCAAAGGACTCAACCAAAAAACTGTTACACTTAGCAGGCCAATTTAGTTGAGTGGCAGGGTATCAAAAAGCCCCCAACAGCCACAAACAGCATGACCATCTCTTACAAATTGCCTCCTGTAGTTTCAATTTTCACCTTGAGTCCAGATTGACATATTCTTCTTAAAGCTCTTAGGAAGCAAACGATGATGAACTAAATGGCATGGTCCACAAATGATGATGACCTAAGTGATGAACGCAGTCCACGTGGAGCTGCACTGCTAACCCCAGGGCAGGGCTTCTCTGAAGGGGTTAATCCAGGAGTCAAAGATGGGGAATGACTTCCGTATGATTATAGCCTCAGGAGCCTCTGGAGGGTCAGCTACAAGTCAAATCCAACTTGACAGCAACGAGTGAAAGGATCTGGTATCACACAAGCCAACTGGCAAAATGTAGCAAAGGGGAAAAACCCTTCCAAATTTCCTCATAACATCAGAAGATTGGGGTTGAACAGGAGATGTGGAGAGCTCAAGACTTCCCCCATCACCCTGAAAGCAAAGAAGTGTGTTAGTTTTACCTCTGTCTTCGTGGAAATTCAACTTCACTATCTACTTCCCCTTCTTCCTCTTCTGAGGAGTCATCTCCACTCTGAGGAGAACAAGGAGAAAACGAAATGGATTTTAGTTTCTTTCTCTCTCCTGCAGACAGTGTAGAGAATTTCATTATCATTAAAACATAGAGTAGTCGCTCATTGAATGTCAACTCCAAACACATACATCCTCCTTCATTCATCATGCAGCACCCTCATGAGGACAGGCCCTGTATTAAGGGTTTGGAAGACACACAGAGAGAGCTGAGTGAGACTTTCATCTTTACGCTGGTGAGGTGAAGGCTCATGACTGTGTTTAAAGGTGAGTGGTGGAGAAGGGATCTTGGCGTCTGGGGCAATCTCTGTAAACACTGTCGTAAAAAGTTCCAGGTTCTCTGTCTTTGAGACTCCGCCAGGAAGAAAGCTTTTAGTTCTTCAGAGATCTCTCAGTTCTTTTCCATTCTCACTTTACCAATCACTTTTGCACTAAAGTCACTACACTTGTGTCATCTCTTCTGTTAAGAATACTATATAAGGATCAGACCCTGTATTACTGGAATGATATCTTGTACTGCATCGTTCACTCCACCGTTAGCGCTATGTGGCACAGCTGTGAACTGAACGGTCAGTAGATGCAGCAGTCTGCTTCTGTAAATACTTCAGTCACAGAAACATGATGGGACTGTTCTACCTTGTCTCACAGGGTTACTATGAGTCAGGATCGACTCGATGGCAGCAGTACTGACTTAGGCATACAAACTAGATGCTTAATAAATGTTTATTGAGTTAAAGTGCTGGCACGGATACTGGAGATCTGCTTGCAAAGCCTGAAGCCCTGTGGTTTGTCTAGAACCCTAGGCGAGTATCACATAGGAAGAGATGGGCTTCCTTTACAGAAGAAATCCCATCTTGCATCAAGGACATAAGAACATGCATACTGCAGATAAACCACCCTCAGCCAGAGGGCCATGGCAGTAGAGTAGATGGTGGGTAACTGATTACAAGTGGTGGTGGTGGTGGTGGTGTTATGTGTCGTCAAATCACCTGTGACTCATAGCAACCCTATGTACAACAGCGCTGAACCCTCCTCTATCCTGAGTCAAACTCAGTAGTTTGCCAAATATTGAGATTAATTTATCTCTTTAAAATTCAACAAGGGAAAAGAAACCAACTAAGTTCAGTAAAGGGAAAAGAAATGAGGGGGAAAAATCAGTTCTAAAATATCACTTCTGACCTAAAGCTATTCTGCTAGGCTTTCCTGTGTGCAGCGGCAGGAGTGGAGTCCCACTGACTGCTGAGATGAGAACTCTGCCGTGGGACACCTGTGGAAGCAGACGCAGGCAGGACAGAAGGCTGTTCTGACAAGGCCAGAGATACAGAGTGTATGTCCCATGGCTACAGATCCAGAGACAGCGCCTCAGCTTTGGACTGTGAGTACAGGATTCTTTCTAGGGTGATGAAAACGTTCCAACGTTGGTTGTGGTGATGGTGCACAAGCCTGTGGCCATGTGTTTAAAAAATGGAATTGTGTCTTTGAAAACTGTGAATTCTACAGTATGTAGATTATGTTGCAACAAAGCTATTACAAAAAAGAAAAAAAATACAGGCAGCTATCAGAAGGGTTAGGGAATGGAGAATGGATTAGCCCAAATCCAGTGCACAACTTAAAACCCACTTTGATGTCTAGGAAAGCACTGTTAGTGGCAGCCCCATGTGGAAGAAGAAACAGTTCCGAGACACAGCCTTCAGGCTTCGGTTTCTCTCCTACTAAACATAGAGCTGACTCGAGCATATTTCTGCCCTTTTATTCTTCGTACTACACTTCTGATGGATGATGATGAAGGTGAGGGTAAAAATCACTGAGTGGCTTTTTACCATGTGCCAAATAATTTTCATACACAACCAGTAACAGAAACTAATATATCTTGGGAGCTTGTCATGTTAGACCTTTTCTAAGTTAATATATATATATATATATATATATATATATATATATTCTAAATGATAACAAAATATATATATTGTTGATGATTGCCTTAGAGTCAAGAACGACTCATAGCGACACTATGGACAAAAGGCCTGAAGCCCCTCCACAGCTATGGACATTTACCAAAGTTCATAGAATTTCCAGAAGCATGTTGTTTAGGAAGTGGAAGCCGTTCCTGCTTCCAATGTATATATTAGGTATGTGTGTATATATATACACACACATACATACATACACATATATATAACTTAACTACTGCCACTGAGTTGATTCTGAGGCTGTAAATCTTTATGGGAGGAGGCTGTCCATTTTTCTCCTGTGAGCAGCTGGCAGACTCAAGTCGCTGACCTTTTGGTTAGCCGTGCAATTCTTAATGCCCTACAGCACTAGAGCTTCTTTTTATGTAAACATATGTACACAATATGTATATTTAATCCTTACATGAAAAGATTAATATAATCTTTATCTGCTATCTATCTATCTATCTATCATCTACCGACCTACCTCACTCATCTATCTATCTATCTATGGAACTCTGACGGCAATGCCCGTGTTGCTAACCGAAAGGCAGAGCCTCTGTGATGGTTCAAATCCAGCAGTGGCTCAGCTGGAGAAGGGTGGGCAATCTCTTCTTGTGTGTTTGCAGCTTCTGAAAACAAGCCAGAAAGGGTCAGCTATGAGTAAGTTCTGACTTGATGGGCAATTTATTGATAGATATTTATTCAATCTTCCCAATAACCAATGAGTCCATTCAAAGGTATCAAATAATGTCACCAAGGTCACACAGGGAGTGGAAGAGCCTGGTCTTGAACACAGACATGTCTGACTTCATGCTTCTGCCTGTTACCACTGTGGCAGACTACTGTCCAGCTAATGAAGGGGGAGAGGAAGGAAGAATCAGGTTTCAGTGACTGAGAACTGACTGCCTCATGGTTGTTACTGATTAAGGCAGTGTTTTCCAAAGTGTATTCTGAATAAAGTTAGTTCCTTGTGGGTTTGAATAGACACTATGTTTAGAAGGTGCTTCCTTCAAGTAAATGAGGGAAATGCTGGGTTAAACCAGTTCACTGCATAGGAAGAGCCTCCAAGAAGAGACAAAGAATGGGACCCTTCCTTCTTGCAACATCACTCAGGACTAGGATTTTTGGGTAGTGGCTTCCAACTCTTTCTGTTACATATCCACAACATTTGTTTTTAAAATGTCTTTCTAAATTATGCCCAGCTGAGGCAGTCTCCTGGTTCAGAATTTCCCAGTGGAGATTCCCTAGTTTCTTATGTTAATACAGAAAGATCATCAAACATCTACTTGTGTTTGCTAGCTCGCCCTTTTCAAAATGGAGATTTGTTCTCTACATGTGGTCACACAAGTGACATGACAGACTGATGCTCTTTGAAGGCTGTCATTACCCTTTACCTTCTGAAGGGGCCTTGTTTTTCGAGGTAGCACTGGGGGGGTGATGTGCTGGGGGTCGCTGAGGGACGACGCAGACCTACAGCCGCCGAAGTAATTTTCTTCCAATTTCTCAGAACCCTGGGTGTTTTCCAAGAGGGGATTGTGTGCTGGTGACTTGGAAAGGCTGGGGGTCCTCCCTGCAGGCTCTGCGGAGGAGGGGGCTTCTAAATACCCCTGCTGTTCTGGCCTGCACTGGAGGCAGGGGTCATAAGGGTCAGCCTGACAACAGCCCCAGGGGCCAGCCTGGTCCTGGTCTGGCTCAGAACTCCTCCAGCAGTCTGCTGCCATGGCTGTGGAGATGAGGTCGGGGCTGGAGCCAGGCATCTGTCTCTGAGCGTGGTTGCTGAGTGGGCTCCGCAGGGCGGCTGCCGGGCCGAAATACCGCAGGTTGTTGGCGCAGGTGGCAATGTCCTGTCCGTGCATATTGAGTCTGGGGTGGTGGCTCTGGGCCATGGCGGGAGGGGGCTGCTGGTACTGCTGCTGCAGAGGCTCATGAGGGTCCTGGGGCTGAGCGTGGGGCAGATAAGGGGGATGGGGCGCATTTTCCTGGGCTGGCTGGTTTTTCAGGATGCCTGCAAAGTCACTGTGGCTGCCTCTGCTGTTCCCCCGGCGGTGGCGCGGCTTGCTTCGATAGCGGCTCTTGCTGCTTGAGGTGGACATTTTGGGACTTCCAGACACAGGCGACGCACTGGGAGGCATCTCTGTACTGGGGATGCCTTCAGATCTCAGCAGATCTGGCCTGGGAGAAGAGAAAACGGGGTTAGTTTTAAACAGATGAAAACACACTCAAATTAGGCAAATCTATTGATGAAGTTATACAAGTGTTCAGGTCTTTCGTTCATAGGGCTGCTATGAGTCTTCTACAACTCATCAGCCCTTAACAACAACAACAACAACACAACCCCAGCCTTAAAATATCCCCATCTTTTGAATCAGCAGTCAAACATGCAGGAATTTACCCACTGGGGACAAGGGCCATGCACACAGATGCCTGTTTAAAGATGACATGCTATTAAGTTGTCTACAATAGTGAAATGTGGGAAACTACTTAATTTTCCACTTTTGGAGGACTTGTATTCTTTCTGCACTTTACTAGTCTTAGGACGTAGTCCCCTTTAAATTTGAATCCTCCTTGGAGGTAAGGGCAGTGAAACTTCATCTCACATACTTTGGGCATGTGGTTTGGAGGGGCCAATCCTAGGAAAAAGAGATCATGCTGGAAACGGTGGAGGGTCACTGAAGGAGGGGAAAACCCTCAACAAGATAGAGCGACACAGTGACTCTTAACTGCGGGCTCGAGTGTGTCAGAGAGGGTGAGGCTGGCACAGGACAGCAGAGTTCAGATCCACTGTTCACGGGGTCGCTATGAGTGGTAGCTGACCTGATGGCACCTAGCTTCAACCCTACAGATTTCTTGATCTCTCAGTGGCAGTGTGCGAAGGGCAGTGTGCGAAGGGCAGTGTGCAAGGATGTTTGCCAGAAATCAGAAATCTGTCTCCTGATGGATATGGATAGACCCCATGAGGGATCACAAGGCGAAGTGGTCTGGCACTGGGGAAGGAAATCTTAGCTTCATGGGGCAGGCGGCTAGATGCAGGAACTTTGTTCTAGACTGGGACTATGCTGTCCCCATCTTTTTTAATGTAAAGGACATTGGCAAGGAGTCTTACTCATAGTAAGGACTCAATGAGTGTTTAAGGAACGATAAGGAAGGGCGAGGCAGAGCAGAGAACAGCACCAAGCCCAAGAAGGTGAGCGGAGCCAGTGAGAGAGGGGCTAGTGAGAAGTGGCATGGGCAGGGTGCACTTTCATCCCAGAGGGGAGAAGACCTCTCAGGGCCCTGTTTTCAAGTATCTCCAGGGCCAGTCCCTTAGCAGGAGGAAGTCAGAGGCCTGGAGGAAACCCTGACAATAAGACACACACACATAAACAAATGGTTTCTGAAACTGATGAGTTGATTCAGGGCAGAGATACTGAAGTTCCAGGAAGCACCACCACCTTTTTATAACAGCCTCACCCATCTCTAATACCAGGTAGCTCTCAATCAAGAGATTTCAGAGCTGAAAGGGCTCTTTTTTAAAAATCAGTCTTTTCTCAGATACGTACTTGTTAGAAGCTTGCATATAGGATAGAAGTGGAAGTGACTGAAGAGTGTTGACGCTCTCCCCTGGAGGACTTGCCCTCCTCATCCCCTCTGCCTCTGGTCACCTCTGAGATCTTGTACTTTGATCTGATCCTACCTCTGCCATATGTGGTGAGGATGCAGCCCAAGTGACTCATGGTCACACAGACAGTGTAAGGACACAGACATGAAGGGTCTCATCTCCTGGCTGGTTTATGCAACAGAGTGGAAATGTGAAGATGCATATAAACCACTTCAGGACTTCAGTGAAATGGACACTGTCATTCAGCAGGTCTGGGCTGGGGCCTAACATTTTTGCATTTCTTGTGCCCCTAAAATGCTCAGCTGAGGACCAGGCTTTGAACGGTCATGGATCCAGGGATGGTAGAGCACAGAAAATGTGGGGATAATCCAGGTATTTTATCATTTGTACAAAACCTGGGTAGAAAGCTGTCAGAGAAGAACAACATAAATATTCTCCACTAGTAGAGAATAACAGAAAATTAGTAAGACAATTTCCGTCTGTCAAAGATGGAAAAATTGTTAGACCCAGGAAGACAAGACTATCCTGCTGAGTTCTAGCTCTGACAGGCTTCACTGCAGTTTGGATTTATTTTTATTCATGCCACAGCAGAGTGACCAGGATTCCGACAGTTTTAAAACGCATTCTTGGTTTGTGTTTTCTTGTTCACTGCCTTTAGCTGGAGTCTCGCTCAGGTTTGAACCCATTTTGTCCTATTCTGTTAACTTAGCGAGAACAGAGCCAAGTCTTCATTATCTGGGGAGGACTGAGGCTTGTGCAGAGCTTGGCAAGAAAGGATGCCTGCAAGAGTTTTCTAAAATTAAACTACTACAAGGAAAATGTGTTGCATCTAGTAGAAAGAAAAGACAGTCTAATTTTAGGTATTCACAAATTCCTTTTTTTTGAGCTCTGGTGCCGTAGTCCGTAGGAAGTCACGCTCCCAGCCCAAAAACTGAATCTCTCTGGCAGTTTGAATGCACCAACAGCTTGTAGGAGGAAGATGGGCAACTTTTCATGCATTTACAGCCTCAGAAACCTAACACAGGGGCAGTATCTTACTTAATCTTGACAGAACCTCATGCAGGAGTAGAATGAAGGGAACTCTATGACTAGGTCTGGACCTCAAACCAGTCTGAACTGCTTTAGTCATGATGGAGGGAAATAGGAAAAATTCAGGAATAGACCTGAATTTTTGAAAATTTGGGTGAAGCCAAATTATAACTGGAATGAGGAAAATGATGATGCAAGTCCCTGGAATGTATGACTTAGAAGAAAAAAAGAGTGGGCTGTGTCAGGAATTGATATGGAATGTTGTTGTTGTTGTTATGTGCCGTCGAGTCGCTTGCGACTCATAGCGACCCTATGTACAACAGCCCTAAACTCTGCTCTGTCCTGTGCCAATTGCACCATCTCCGATACACCCATCCCAATTGCCCCAGTCACTGAATCAATCCACTTCATAGAGGGCCTTCCCCTCCTGTGCTGTCCCTCCACCCTCCCAAGCATGATATTCCTCTCCAGGTCCCTCCTCACAACACGTCCAAAGTATGTTAGACGGAGCCTCAGAATCTTTGCCTCCAAGGAGCCACCTGGTTTAACCCTTTCCAGGATGAATCTGTTTGTTTTCCTAGCAGTCCATGGTATTTTCAATACTCTTCTCCAGCACCACAGCTCAAAGGCATCAATTCTCCTTCTATCCTCCCTGGTCATTGTCCAACTCTCTGATAGGAATATTACCAAGACTGTGGAGAGCAATGTACATTTAAAGCACTGTGGTCAGCCAGTCTTTGAGCAGGCCACTGTTGTCTCTGACTCTGCTGCTTAAGAGACTTGGTTCCTATGTAATATACATTCTGATCTTGTTTTCTAAAAGGAAGATTAATTCTTTAACAAGGCATTGACTTTAATTTTTCTCATTTTGGTGTCTGTTCCAAGAACCCACATTTTACAAATTTGACTCCATCCTGGTTTTGTCTCATTGACTATGACTGAACTGGGAAGAACTAGTTCAAAGTCTCTGGCTAAGGATAGATGGTTAGCAAAGCTTCTAATTTTTTTTTTTTTATTTTGAAAGTGTTTTATTATCTTTAAAAAAATATGTAAAAACAATCATGCATAATTTCAATAAATGCTACATGTACAACTCAGAAACAGTGATTACATTAAAGCTGTACAAACATTTTAGTTACCTTCGCCAATTTGTCCACCACCACTGATTGAAAGGTACTGCTCCCTAAGCCTCTCATCTTTTTGAATTGTTGTCAGTTTGATTTCATATAGACAGCTCTTTAAAGGAGTATAAGGTAGATATTCATTACTTACTATGATAAACCATGTTTTATTCAAAGACGACTTCAGGGGATAGTTTTTATCCCAACTCCTAGCTTTTGATTTTCATGGTGGGTTCACAGATATTTATAATATTATTAAAAATAATGAATCAATAAAAGTGATCCATGCGTGGATCAATGTGTCATAAATCAAGAATGGTGACTGGTCCAATTCTGGGCATTAAGGATCATAAAAAAGAAACACAACCATGCCATTTTACCCTTGAGTACTCTGGGGTTGAAAGGTTAAGTGGCATGTCCCAAATTACATAGCTTATACTAGGCAGGGGTGGGGTGGGGTGCTATGGATTGTATTGTTAACCACAAAGTTAGCAGTTCGACTCCACCAGGTGCTCTGTGATGAAAAGATGAGGTGATCTGTTTTGACTTGATGGTAATTGGTTTTTGGGTTTTTAAAAAATTCTGTCGATTTTTATTAGGCAACGTCTCCAAAAACCATACCGTAAACATATTTAATTATCCCCTCTCATAGTTTCCAAGGGGTTTAGTTGCCTGAGGCCGCAACTCAGTAGTCAGACGTCAAGCAGATCTTTTTGGACCTGTTCTGTTCTCCTTTCTGAGCCACTTCTCTGCCTTGAGGCACTCATGTTGTGAGTGGGGTGCCTTCCAGTTGAGTATGACCCCTAGAAACCCTGTGAACAACAGACATGAACTCTGACCTGTCCTGTGCCACCCTCATCCCTGATACACTTGGGCCCATTGCTGCAGTCACTGTGTCAGTCCATCTTATTGAGGTCTTCCTCTCTTTTGTTGACCCTCCACAGTTGGGGTTTGTTTTTGACGTGTGTTTTGGTTTTGGTTTTTTATTGTAACAGGCTGAGCCAAGTCAGGTTTGTTTGTTTCTCTCCTTATTATACCATGCTAACGCAGTAAAAATATATGCCTAAAGTAGTAAACAAATGACTAAGGATGACAGAAGAAGCCTGCAAGTTGTGGTACTGGAGAAGAGTCTTGAACATACCATGGACTGCCAAGAAAACAAAGAGGTCTGTCTTGGAGAGGGTGAAACCAAGTTTCTCCTTGGAGGCTAGGATTTTGAAGCTCTGTCTCACTTGTTTTGAGCACGTGGCCAGGAGAGACTGGTCCATGGAGAAGAAAATCATGCTCGGAAGGGTACGTGGACAGCCCAGGAGAGGAAGACCCCAGATGAAATGGATTGATATAGTGACTGGGATGATGGGGGTTGGTGTGTTGGAATTAGTGAAACTGGCTGAGGACAGGGATGGGTTCAGAGGTCACTATATATAGCAGGTGACTCAATGGCACATAGTAACAATAACATACTATGACAGGTTTGGAAGCAGGAGTGGCATCTACTTCCTAAACAACATGCCTCCAGAAACTCTATGAACTTTGATAAATGTCAATAGCTGTAGAAAGGCTTCAGGCCTTTTGTTCAAAGGGCCTCTATGAGTCATGCTCGACTTGATGGCAATCAACAACAACCCAACAAAGTAGTAAAAATGAGATTCCTAGAGTCCATAAAGTGGAGTCCTGGTGACTCCGTGGTTTAGTGCGGGACTGCTAACTAAAGGTCAGCAATTTAAACCCACCGTCTGTTGTGTACTAGAGGGCCTAAGGGGCTGGCAGTGACTGGATGGCAGGGGCTTGTCTTCAAGTCCTCGGCACACTTTCCTTCCCCTTCCTACCCTGTTCTCTCTGGAGGCAAGCGTGCCAGTCACCCCACTGGCCAAGCCCACACCTGTGTGGCCTGCATCTCCCATCACGCTTTGGGGGCATGCTTCTCCCTCCCCTGGTCCTGCACTGCTGTCACTGGAACACCTGGTCATTTCCGGCACCTCACCTTCTGGTCTGCACCCCCGGCTTGTGCGGGGTGCCCTTCCTTTTCATGAGTCTCTCCATGGTGTTGGGGTGGATTATCGGGCGGACAGGGTGCCGTTTGTAAGTCCCGGGGTACTTCTTTTCCACCGCTTGCTCACGTCTGCAAAGTGATAGGATAAGACATCCCAGTCACCGGCAGTGTGCAGGAGGGGGACTGGCTTTACAGGCTAATTCCAGCCAAGGTTCTGGCTACATGTTAACTGAGAAAGGCTGAGTAACAAGGCTGACTACTCACGTGGAAAGGGGTGGGAGGCAAGGAAATAGTAAAATTCAACTCAAACTCAAGGCCACTGAGTAGATTCCACCTCACAGCAACCCTCTATCATGTTTCTGAGACTGTTTCCAGGGTGGAGACTGCCCTTCTCTCTTCCCCAGAGGGTGGTAGATTGGAACGGGTGGAGATAAGGGACCTTTGGATTAGCAGTGCAACATGCGGCCACTTACACCCCCAGAACAAACCTGATTTCATTTGGTCGTTCAGCCTCCATTTGGACTCAGGGATGACATTCTCTCATCCTGCACACCTTGTGGGGAACGTGATACAGTGGCCAATGTCCACACGTTCAGTAGCTGGCTGCTGTTTTAAGGAGCTCTGGTGACATGATGCCTAACACTGCATGTTAATGTTGCTAACCAAAAAGGTCAGCAGTTCAAATCTACCAGGTATTTTGGAGTCAAAAGATAGGCAGTCTCCTCTTGAGACGATTCGCACCTTGGAAACCTGAAGGATAATCAACTTGAGGTGCTGGGGTTTCGCTGGGTTGTTTTTTTATCCCCAGTTCTGATGGCACAGATGGCTTAGCTGCTAGCTACACACTTGAGGATTTGCACCCACCAGCTGTTCTGTGGGAAAAAGATGTGGGAGCTTGCTTCTGTAAATGTCCTACAGAGTCACTGTGAGTTGGAATCTACTTGAAAGCAATGTTATATCAAGTTTGGGTTTTTGGTAGCCGTCTTATTTTGGTGAGGACCCCAGGACTTTGCTACCACCATCAAGAAACCACTTTGGGTAGTTACTTTACTTCTCTAGACTACATCTGGTACAACCGGTTAAATGTATAACTGGAGTTGCTGCCCAAAGGCAGGTGGTTCGAATCCCCCAGATGCTCCCTGGGAGAAAGATGGGTAATCTCCTCCTGTGGATTTACAGCTTCTGAAACCCCAATGGAGAGTCAGTAATGACTCCAGATGACTCTGATTTACTCTGATGCCTAAGAAGGAAGACACTTTGCTGCCCAATGCTCATTACTGCAAAAATTCCCCTGGAACATAGTTCTATTCTGAATACACTGGGCTCTGTATAATTTGGAATCAACAGCAACCAGCTTGGTTGTCCAAATGGGAACACTTTCTCTGAATGGCTCTGTGGAGTGAAGCTGCTGCATACACCTGTCAAATGCATGGTTCCCTATAATCAGCAGCAGCTCCAGGGGCAACTGTACCCACCACAGCCTCATCAGGGACAGGCGCCTGTGCACAGCTCATCCCCTGAGGGCTGCTGGGTGAACGAAAACACTTTCTGCCAGTTCTGAGCAGCGGCCGAACGAAGAGTAAGACATGTCTGCTGACTGACAGGCTCAAATCATCAGGGACGGACGCCAGTCAGGATACATACTTAATGAGCTCCTTCTCCCGCATTTCCAGCTGCAGCATGATGGCACTCAGTTCCATGTATAAATTATTAGCTCGCTCGAGTTTTCTCTCATAGTGCTCACGAATATCCAACGCATGCCTAAGAAAAGAAATGCAAGGTTAGTCCGGGAGACCAACTGGGGGTGGGGTGTGGGGTGGAGAAGAATGAAGGTCAGCCTTAATGAAGCAAGAAACAAATGGTTTACCCCAGAAGCATTTGCCTCATGCACTCAGTATGTTGAACAAAATGGAGTGGGAGACGGAAAGCCAAGTCCCAGACTTAGTTTATCCTCAAGGGTCACATGTCGTCACACCAAACAGCCAGAAGAGCCAGAGAGAAAACCTACATGGGATTTGTGTATAATTTGTGGCTCCTGTCTGGGTCATGTTGACAAAATCCATACTTAAATTCTCTGACCTCATCTGCTAACCTATAAGTCACTTCAGTCATCAGTAGCTTCATAGGAACACAGTACAGTATGCTTACATTTTAATGGAACTATGTATGTAGTTATAGCTGATCCCAGGATCGCTGATTTATATTTAACCATGACACAGATAACACCCTGTCCAATATTGTGGTTATCTGCATATATGTTTTGTTTGTATCCTTTAACAGATTGTAAGCATCTCAGACCAGGGACTTAAATATTACACATTTCTGGGCTTCAAAGACAGCTAGAACACAGCAGTTGAACATAGAAGCAGAATTTCCTCAGGAATCTTTGTCACAGAAATAAAAGGGACACTAGCTAGCCTGGGAGGAGAAGATACAAAGAAAGGCTAAGTTTTAAGGTGACTTTTAAGGAATCCTGGTGGTGCAGTGTGTTATGTGCTGGGCGGCTAAGGGAACACCTGTTGGAATTGACCCCATGGCAGTGGGCTTAGTTTTGGTTTGGTTTAAGGAGTCTAACAATAAGGACAATAAAGGAAAAGGTGCATGCGAAGTGATTCAAAGAGGTCTCCTGATGCCCACAGCCCGGGGATGAAGGGAGGGGAGGAGCCTGGGGATGAGGAGGGGAGGAGCCTGGGGATGAGGAGGGGAGGAGCCTAGGGATGAGGGGAGGGAAGGGGTGAGGCCAGCCAACCTGAGCTCTTCTCTTCGCCTCCGGATCAGCTCTTCATCCAAGCGGTGTATACAAGTCCCTTCGCTTTTGATCTTCTCAAAGTGCTTTTTCACTTCTTCTCTCCACTCAGCCTGAGGACCAAGTAGATATTGTCAGTATTCTTGGAATTTCAATGCTCCATGGAACAACTATGTTGTTGTTATGCACCGTCAAGTCGGAACCAACCTATAGCTGACCCCACAGTGGGTTTTCAGAGGCAGTAAATCACTTGAGAGGAAACTGCTCGTCCTTTTCCCTTGGAGCAGCTGGCGGATTCAGACATGTACATTGTGTTCCAAACAGTCCTTCATTTACATTCTATTTCTTTCTTTTATATTGTGGGTTTTTAATCCATCCCTTACAATTATCCCTCCAACAACTACTTTAATGAAGGCATGTAAGCCAGCTACTTTATGCCTCATGCCCTAGTATCCCCCTTTTAGATAGTCAATTGTCCCATCTCTGTAGAACCAGTACTCGGAGGAAACAAGCATGTCCCTTTTGTTGAAGGATCCTCTGTTCAAAATGGAAACTTAGAGCATCTGCATCTGTTAGCATCATCCAGTGCAGAGCAAACCATCTGGTTGCAGCATCAAACCTAACTCACAGCATGGATCATTTTCTCTTCACCTGGTCGGGTCAACTCCTCCCCAGCCATCTGCGGTTGATTCAAATGGGCATCAGCTGCAAGCTCAGGAGCCCACATGTCTCCCTGAACTCCGGACCTCCTGGTCTCCTCCCTCAACCTGAACCCCCACAGGGGGCCAAGTTGCGTCAACAGGCCAGGGGTCCTCACGACTCCCTGCTCTTCAAGCCAACAAGCCTTCTGCTCATCCACACATCCGTGTGAGTGGGGTGGGCAGCGCTGAAGGAGCATGCCTGAGCTCAGCCTGTTTCTCCGTTGTTGTATTCCTCCCACTTCCACTCCTGTGGACCCAAGCGATGGCTGTGAGAGAGCATACTCCACCCTCAAGTCCTGGAGGTGGGGTCTGTCTGATGGGCGCCAACTTTACCGTGCCTCAGAAGCCAAACTGCTTGTTCCAGTTATATAACATCAGTCTCTCTCTCTCTCTCTTTTTTTTAAATTTTCTCATCTCCTATTTGCCTTCTTTAAAATGTGAGTCTCTTCCATCAACAGCCCAATGTAGGTCCACAAATCGAGTCAAATGCAAATCTCCTCAGAGCACTGTGCAGAACTCAATCTTCCTCTCAACCATGCCCCAGCCCTCATTCCAAGATTCTACGTTTAACTAGCTTATCTCCAGGGCAGATCTTCCCTTTTAATATTCCAAATTAAGAACCGGCTAAAGGTGGAACTACATGCTTTCTAAACTACAATTTCTAACATTCATTTATACACATTTTCTTCATCCTCTGCTCCTTAAAAAAATTTTATTTGCATAAAACAACCCTTACACCCTGCACTTTATCCATGTACGTTGTACCCAACTCAATTTTCATACACACTGTACTTCATACAGTTAACCATCACCTGTCTATTTTATTACACTGTGTCCCCAAGACCCCAGTGGTCCTCCCCCAAAGTCTGTCTCCCCAAAACCTCCACCATAGCAGTGATCATCGCTCCTTTCCCTTTTCAACCCTTCCCTCTCCCTCCTTTTTTTTATTTTCATGCAATAGTTCGTTTATCTTGTACTTCGTTCAAGTACACTGTGTTCTACACAATCCTCCATCCGCATCATGCTTCACAGAACCATTGACATACACTATTTTACACCATCAACCACCACTGAGCTGTGTCTACTATTAAACTATCTCTTCAAGTCCCCATTAAATCTTTCCCAGTCCTTCACCCCTCTCACCCAATCTGCCCACTGAACTCTGCTATCCTAGGGATTTCCATACTTCCCTTTTCCTCCCATCCCCCTAACCCTTATCCCTTTTGGACATTGACACACATCTAACTTATAGTTAGTTAGTTAGAAGGTCTTCCTTCTAATTTTGCAGTGATTCTATGTAGTATTTATCCTTATAAGACGGAGTAAGTTTACTCATTATAATGCTTTCTAGGCTCTTCCATTTCATATAGTATTTTACAAAATAATTATTTCTTAGTACTTAGTATTCTATTGTGTTAATGTACCACAATTTCTCAATCCACTCATTTGTTCTTGGACATTTAGGCTGTTTTCATTTTCTTGCTATTGTGAAAAGTGCTGGTATGAGCATACTTATCTCTGTTCCTGTGTCAGTTCTAAGTTCCTTGGGGTTTGTTTCTAGAGTGCAATAGCTGAGTCATACGGGATGCTTATGTTCACCTCTTTGAGGAAATGCCAAACTGCCTTCCAGAATGGTTGTACCATTTTACCATCCCACCAGCAACTCATGAGAGATCAAATCCCTCCACACCCCCGCCAACATTCACTGCCTGCTGTCCTGTTAAACTTTGCTACTGCTACTGGGGTGAGTTGTATCTCCTTGTCTACACGATTTCTATTCCATTATAAAACAGTGTCTCTTTTCCAATTCCCTTGTAGTACTGGTCACCAGAAATATCACAGGTGGCCCACTGGCCATCACCTTTGGGAAAAGAGTAAGTCAAGATGGGTCACTGATGTACCTTCACCAGAAAGAACAGCTCTGATGACCACACGGGGAGGTGCATCTGTCTCTGAGAATATGATCATCTTTATAAGTGGCACCAGAATTCCTCCTAGGCTTTGTTCAGGAAAATATCTTGAGGAAATATTTGGAGTGGAAGATCCTATGGGTATGAACATCAGGGGATGGGCATAAAAATAACAGGAAACTATACAGGATGTGGGGGTGATGGAGTGAATCAGAAATAAAAAAGGAAGAGAGGGAGTGTGAGCTAGATTATGGCCAAGTAATTTAGTAGTTCAACTGTTCAATGGCAAATAGCAACAGCCACCACCATTATTTTAGGACAGGAATGATGTCTAATATGTGATTTAAGTTGTCCAAAATGGAAAGCTCTTCAGCTTTTCTCAACCTTCAGGAAAGTCTCTGGTATTTACCTTGGTGGGAAGGGGCAGAAATTCATATTTGGCTCAAGGACAGAACAAAGATAAAGTAGACTGGTTGGCGTTGGAAAGAGACACAAAGTTTAGGGAGGCAAAGCCAATATGGTCATAAGATAGGGACTTCTCCAGGAGTTGACAGAACTGTTTTTGCAACATTGGACTTTCCACAGATCATGACGAAATTTTAATCCAATTTAATCTTAATTTTAGAGGACAGGCAATCCTCTGCTGGAATATGTTCTATAGGCAGTTTCCAGTAAGGAAGCTAAAAAGAGAAATTTCAGTACATTTGGCCTTTTGTGACTAAGATATTTCACTCAGTACAGAGGTAATAATTTATGGTGTGATTTATGGCTGTGATGCTGAACACTATGACACTGATGTGTCAAATGCGATAATGGTTACTCATGGTGGACAATGTTTGGTGGAGCTCCCTGATTAAAACAAGCTTGGAAGCAGAAGTGACATCCACTTCCAAAACAGCTTGCTTCCAGAAACCGTATGAAGTTGGAGAAAGGATGAAAGTTATACAAGTGTTCAGGTCTTTTGTTCATAGGGTCACTATGAGTCATCTACGACTTGACGGCACTTAACAACATTATGTCCTCCAGGGTCACTAACTTTGTATAATAGTTTCTGAGTTCCTTGTTTTTTAGTGCTGTGTAGTGTTCCATTATGTGAATATCCTACAGCTTCTTGATCCATTCATTTGTTGATGGGCACTTGGGTTGCTTCCATCTCTTTGCTATTGTGAACAAGACTGCAATAAACATGAGTGTGCATATATCTGCCTGGGTAACAGTTCTGGTTTATTTAGGGTATATTCCCAGTAGTAGAACTACTGAGTCAAATGGTATTTCTATTTCCAACTTTTTGAGAAAGTGCCATATAGCCTTCCAGAGTGGTTGCACCATTTTACTCTCCCACTAACAGGGTTGGGAGAAAACGAAGAAAAGAGGGGATAAATAATGAACATGACACTGAAATAGATGAGGGAAAGAACTGTCTAAAAGAAATAAATGATTAGGTATTATCTGCATGACAATAGTCTAGAATAAGAGGTGCACAGCAAAGTGGATTGGAGGCGACAGAGGGAGGAAATATCAACAATGAAAGAATCTTTTTAGAGGGAGCTCTGGTGGCCTAGTGGTAAGAAGCTGCACTGAAATCCCAGAGCTGCATGGTTCAAATCCACCATATGCTTTGCTGGAGAAGGAGGGACAATCTCCCCCTGTACCAGTCAGATCCAATTTAATGGTTGGTTGTTAAATTTAATGGTACACAACTAAAATAATAGCATAAAATTAAAAAAATTAAAAAGAAAGAATCTTTTTAAAGAGAAAAGTGGGGTGGGTAGGGAGGAAAATTAGCAACAGTGAATGAAAAGAAATCCAAGTTTTCTGTAAAGGTTTGTTAAAATATCAATTAAAAAAAGAGAGATTTCTTCATTAAGTATAGAACGCCTTCCCAAGAACTTGATGAGACAAAGAAAATTTCCAGTGAAGGGCATATATATGGTTAAATGTTTCTAATACTTGCCCCCAAAACTATTCTACATGTAGACTCATATGAAGGTATCCAGGTGAATTATGGAAGAAGCTATTCTCACTTAATTGTCAAACTGTGGAAAGTTTTCCCCAATATAGCTATTTTTCACCTATTTTAATGGAAAGAAATTTTATTGCATTTACTTTAAAAAAATTATCACTCTGCTTATTTGTTTAGAAAGAGGTACTCCTATGGTTTGGTAAGAGCCTACGATAATATCTAACAGTAAATGCAGGTTTGGTAGAGCTACAGTTAATATTGCTTTCTCCATCCTCAGAACAAAGCTATGGTGCAGAGAATATTTGAGCTTTTAGAGATGAAAGGATGATAAGCCCCATCAACAAACGAATGGCTAGAGAAGCTGTGGTATATTCGCACAATGGAATACTATGCTGCATTGAAAAACAAGGAACTCATGAAATATTATTCAAAATGGTTGACTCTGGAGAACATTATG